GGCCCAGTGAAAACAGGCCCTTGTTCGTGCGAAAGCCGATCAGACTCGACGGCCCAGTGAAAACAGGCCAGGGTTGTGCGAAAGCCGACCGACTGACAGACAGGCCCAGTGAAAACAGGCCCTTGGTTGTGCGAAAGCCAACCAAGTGACTGACAGGCCCAGTGAAAACAGGCCTTGGATTCTGTGAAAACGAATCCGCCTCGTTGTTTTGTTTTTCTTGTGCTATTTGTGGACCTAAGGTTCTTTGCTGGATTCTATACTCATTAGTATAGTTTCGCACGCAACTTGGAATTTCCATAGGCTCCGATTTTTGTAATTTTTCCGCATTCATTTTATTTATTTCTTGGAGTTGTATCGACATCACTATCGGTTACACGCGTCGAGGTTGTACGATTAAACGGCAAGAAACATATCCCAAGTCGAAGACCCAACAAGAAGAAGTTCTAATTCCTGTATTCCAGTTTGTTCATTGACATTTTACATTATTATAGAGTTCATTTAGTTCAATTCTTTTTCATTTACTTCCGTCGATTAATAAAATTGTGTATCGAATATTTTTCTTTACGCGTTCGTGTGTTACTCAGTAAAATCATATAATTCGAAAAAGCCCAGTGCCGCACAGGACTGGTCGAACTCGCAATAAAAATATACACAAAAATTATTGTCGGACCATAAAAAAAATTCCCTGAGAAAGATAGAGAAGGAGATTACCTCACACCACCAGTTGTTTTCATTAAAATTTCCGACAATATCTATCTAAATATTTGTGCAAATTTATCACCAGTTGTAACATGGACACTGGGCACGGTTTATAAATGTGAATAAGTTAAAGGGAAGCTAATCATGCTATCATTTAGGTAGTCGCATATGGCTCGCGCGGATGCATGAACTTACGTTTAAGATAAACGGCGTAATTTTTCGACCCGCATTTTTGGCACGCAAAAAAATTGACAAAACATTGATGCATTTTTTTTAATTTTTTGCAATTGCGGTGACTTATATTTTCATAATTGGTATCAATTAACTTTTAAAAGATTTGTTATCATTAGTATATGGTTTTTTGTTGTCGTCATTCACTTTTTTCCAATTTCTACGCGCCTTAATTTTGGCCATTTTCAGCCAGGCTAGTTTCGAATTATTTTTGTAAACGCCTCAAAATTTTTATATATTTCATAAAATAAGCATCTATTAATTTATATTTGGAAATTGAGGCCGTTTGAAGGGGTCGCCGGTATTTAAATTAAACTTTGAAATGACCAGTCTCGACCCATATTTTCAATGCATTTTTTGGCGTTTATGATAAAACATGCTATAACCTTTGAATTATAACACATCAAATTTTTTAATTTCAATAGTTTTCTGTAACATTCTGTGAAATTTTTATAGGAATCAATTTGGTCGCCGATACTAAAAAACAGCTCTGAAGTTCCTGCTGTAAACTGATGTCTACCATGCATGACTTGGCATTGATGATAAAACATGCTATAATTTTTGAATAAAATTAAGCACATCAAATTTTGTAATTTCAATAGTTTTCTGTAACATTCAACAACATTCTGTGAAAATTTTTATAAGAATCAATTTGAGTGCCGATACTAGAAAACAGCTTTGAAGTTCCTGCTATAAAAATCAAATGGGGTAGCCTAATATATTTAGGCGTACATTGTTTGAAATTATAAAATTTGATTTTTTTTAATCTACTTTCATATTTAAACATGTCTCAGATTCAAAAAATTGAAGCAAGGTTGTTCTGAAAAGTTTTGTGGAAGAGAATTTCGCCAACTCATCAATACCATTGAAGAATGGTTTTATTTATTAATTGGTCATAAAACAAGAACAAAAAAATCCAAAATGGGTGGCAGTAGGGCAAGAATTAAAAACCTTACATTTTAATTTCAATGATAATTTTAAATATTTATTAAACTGTATTAAAAAATCCTATCAAATTATAAAAAAATATTAACAAAGATTGGAACAAATTGAATATGTGAATAGCCCATTTCATATATATAAAAATTTAAAATTATTAAATTGACAACAACACACGTTTAGACGATATTTTCCCCGAGATCGGGGGTTGCCGTTTGGCTACCTATGATGAAACCAAAATACCCCTCGACGCCATTCACATCTGTCACTCGCCTCAGTATCACGCAACCCCGCTTTCACCCTGTCCTTCTCCACCAGCTCTCTCCATCCCAATCGCGGACGACCCCTTCCAACCACTCCTTCAACCTCGAACTCCAACACTCGCCTAATCCCGACTCTTTCATCCCTTCTCAACACATGTTCATACCACCGCAATCTCGATCTCCTTATCAATGTCACAATGTCCTCATTCAGTTTCATCATTGACATCAGCTCTTTACTACTCCTCCTATCCTTCCCTTTAACCCCACACATCATCCTCACCATAGCTCTTTCAGCCCTCTGCAGTACACTTCCTCCTCTCTCCTCAACACCCAAGTTTCACCACCATATACCATCGCTGTTTTCACACATGCCTTATATACCCTCCCTTTCATCTTCACTGACGATTTCTTTCCGCACAATACCCCACCCACCATGTTCTCTAAATTTCATCCATCTCACATGAACTCTAGCCGTAACAGCGCTCAAACATCCTCCATCCGCGTTTAGCTTAATCCATAAATAAACAAAGCTTTCAATACCACCACTCAACCTCGTCCTTGCGTCCGTCCTATTAATCACACCATGATAACATTTCTTACATTTGAACGTGCCTTCCTTTTTCAGTGCCCCCCTCACTCCACTACATCTCTGATGCACCCACTTCTGACATCCAATACACAATACCGAGTTAGCCTTCACTCTCCTCTCACATACCCCACAGGGGTCTATCCTTGCTCCCCACCTTCCCCACTCACCATCCTTCGTCCTTACCTTCGATCCACAAAACACATGTACAATCTTCGTTTCTTCTTTCTATAATTCTCCTGCAACATTCTCACCATGAACAACGCATCCACCGTTCCCCTATCAGGCATAAACCCACACTGCATTTCATTAACTGTCACCATATTTCTCAACCTCCTCTCAAGCACCCTCTCCACTACCTTCATTCCGTGCTCTAGCAATTTCACACCCCTATATGACCCAAAATCTCTCACATCTCCTTTGCCCTTATACAACGGCACCAACACAATGTGTCGCCAATCCTCAGGTATACCTTCATCATCAAACATACTTTTAACAATTTTCATCATAACTTCAATTCCAATCACCCCACCGTGTTCCGCCGCCACTTCCGAAACCCCTGTCGCCTTACCTAGTTTCATTTCTCTAACTGCTTTCTCACTTCCTCCATCGTCACCTTCTCTATGGGTCCGTGTGTGATCGCGCATTCCACATCTCCGTCCCACTTATTCTCTTCATTTATCAATCTTTCCATATGAGGTTTCCACACCTGAGCTTTTTCCTCCTCATCTATGCACAACTAGCCAGATCCATCCCAAACACATCCATTCCCTATAACATCTTTCCTATCCCTCATTGACTGCTTTGCTACTTTGAACATTTTCCTCGGACTCACATCAAATTCCATTTCCTTCATTAACCTATCTGATGCTTTCGTCATTGCAGTTGCCACTGCCCATTTTGCAATCTTCTTAGCCTTCCTATACTCTAACTCCGCTTCCCCCGTCATGTCCCTTCTCTACACCCCAAACCTCTCCTCTTGGCCTCCAAAACCTTTCTTTTATCTTCATCCCACCACCACGTCTCACCAGGCCTACACTTTCCTTTCGTCCATCCACATACTTTATCTGCCGTAGCCAACACACAGTCCCTATATCTCTCCCAAACATTTCCATCCTTACCACTCTCCCAACTTTCAGCCACCTTCACTTCAAATGCCTTCCTCACCTCTGCATCTTGTAACTTCCATGTCTTTCTCTTTGCCACAAACTTATCCTTCTTCCTCCACCCCATTTATTGTAATGCCACATCCATCACAACCATACTAAGCAGCAACAGGTATCGCCTTCACATTCCTTACATACTTTCTATGCTTCGCCCTTACCAATATATAATATAATATAATATATCATTGACTTATGCTCCCCATACCTATATGTAATTAAAAATTATTAAATTGAGCAGAGCCCAAATAATAAAACAGAAACAGGCTAGTGGAAAATTATAAATATGAAATAAAAGAACAAATTGATAAAATTGAATCATTGAAAAAGAAGCTAAACAATGCTCAAACAATAATTTGATTTAAAAAGTTCACCATTTGACAAATTTGATTTTGGAAGAGGATGAAGAAAGTTCGAAACAGGTCGATCCTAAAGTTGGAAAATGTTTACGATACATTTTTCAGAAAAGCAGTGTATAGCGCACTTTTGCAAAATGTTCCAGTTAGGCAAAAGTGCGCTAAAATATTGCAAAATATGCCAACTGTCCATGGATTGCCATTGACCAATGTTTCGCATCCTTCCAATATAGCACGAATGGCTTGTGAGCTTGGTGTTCTTGTTGAGTTACAGGTTGGTGAATTATTGTATAATTATACATCTGCTACTTTGACACATGACCCCGCCACCGTTGCTGGGATTCAGTAATATCTTCATCGCTGCATCAAATTCGTACATAGTTTGCGACATATTTTCTCGAATCCAAAAGATTTGTGGATTAAGTATAGAGATGATATGTCTGAGGATGTTTACATCGTGTGCGTCGTCATACCTTGAATCTTACACTACAAATGACAGCAGAAATTTACAATGAGACATTTATCATGATAGAAGATATGTGTTTATTGATGGCAAATAAAGTATTGTCGTGTTTGGAAATGACGGCACCAAATCGTCATAAGCACAATGCATTAAACCACGAGTTGCAAAGAGAACAACAATACGACATTATAGCATTGACCGAAACAGTTCATACAAATGTTCCACAATTAAATCAACAACAAAAAATTGCGTACAACACTTTGATAGAAGCCGTGAACAGTGGATCTGGTGGAATTTATATCTTTGATGCTCCCGGAGGAATCGGAAAAACGTTCTTAATTTCATTGCTTTTGGCGAGGATCAGATGGCGAAATGATGTTGCTCTAGCGTTGGCTTCATCTGGAATAGCTGCGACACTGCTAGAAGGCGGGCGAACTGCACATTCTGCCTTGTAATTACTATTAAACATGGAAAACATAGTGGAGATATACAAGTTTGTTACAGTTTCACTAGCAAGGTTACCAAGTGCAACAGCCATTGACTATGCAAATCATATACATTCATGCATTAAAAATGTTGTTGACACATACTCTGCGTCTAATGCATTGCAGGTTCTGCAATGTAAAGTCATTCATTTTCTTTGCAAATTCAAATGCTATCTGACTGATCGCGCACATGTAAATAATCGTGTCTATCAACTGTTAAAAGATGATTTAGAAATTGATTTGTTACAATTGTATTGTAATGTTTATCCTTTAGAAACTATTGCAACTGAAACTATGAAATATGTTTGATGGAATATGACAAAAAACTGAATTTGACATGGAACACAAGGATTTTTGACTCAGCTGTATCATTCTTGCATGGTCTCTCTAAACTTTGGTAATTTTTTGGAATGATTTTACTTACTAAGTTTAATTTCTTTAAAATTAAAAAAAATTATTACAGATACAGTCAAAAGATGGTGTATTTAAAGCATTTTTAAGAGCAAGCAATGTTGCATCAAGTACGGTTTTGAGGTATGTCGGCAACAGGTTTCATGTTATATTTCATGTGGGTGGTGTTGCTTCATTCATTCCTGAAAGGGTAACTTGTTTACTTCTAATTTTGAATGTGCATGAATAAACTTTAGACAATAGCATATTGAACACTTTTTATATTTAGTAACAGCAAGAATAATTTGACCATATCATTATGGGAAAACATAAGTAAAACTGAAGTAATGACGTAGCTTCAAGCTCTAAGCTTAAACTGAAAATTTATGACCGGGCCATGGATTTTTACAATATATGGAAATGTCCAGAAAAGTTCAAACCTTGAATTGGTAAAACTAAATGATACATATGATATATGTTTTATTTCTCACAAAACCACAATCCATTATTGTTACTTACAGGCTCCTGCATTCAAATTAGCAGTTGAAAACTTGAACAAAATGTAACAAGATCCTCAAAATATTTTAACAGTTAAATATGATGTATTTGGAGAAAACTTGAAAGAGGATGAAGTTTTTCAGTCACTGGTCACTTCGAAATATAACAAGCTTCTAATTTCCATTTTCTCTTCCCTTGTTCAGTTAGCCTTTTGATCAGCACACACTGCACAATCTAAAGTATATGCCAGTAACATAATTTTTTATTGTCACAGATGGCATTAAATGTTGTTGAAAGATGGATGAGTAGTTATCTTACCGAGCTCTTTCAAATCCTAGTTGTCAAATAATACTGGACTCTTCTTCAGTACCTACTCATATTATGCATGCTGAAAAAATGCTTGGTATGACAGATTATTTTATTCGTAAAGCACCTATTATCACCTGTTAATTAATGATTTAACTATTGATTTAGAATGTTATAGTAGAGCTTAACTTCATAACACTTTGACGTTTTTATTTCATTTTGTTTATATTTTTGTTAAATAATCAGATAAATTTGAAAGTGAATGTTTCGTAATATTTGATGATGTAACCTGATTTAATTAACTTCATTAATCAACTATTCATTAAATTACATTATTTATATAACACTGCTATTGCTATTTATTTTAAGGATGAATAAGAAAATCATTTGTTATAAAATTGAAAAATGAAATTGCATAATTTGAATAATTGTTGAATTATTATCAGAATGTGAATCAAGAGCAAGGGGATCCGTTTCAAGTTCACAAATTTATTGAAGCAATGAAGACATCCTTGACAGAAAATTTGATAAATTTTGTTATAAAAAAATTAACTGCACATTATATTGATTTTATTTAAATTCTTATTATCAAAAATTATATGTGTTCAAATTGAATATAGTAATCATTTCATAACATTAAAGTCTCTAATTTGTAGTTTTTTTTCTTTTTAACTACATTTAATTTATTCATATTATATATGACTTTACTTTCACTATTAAATACGTTTTTACACAATCAAAATAAGTTATCAGATGTTTCAGCATATTTGTATAAATATTCACTCATTTAAAAAATAAATTCATATGTGTTGCGCTGCACACATTATCCTTGTTTTTTCCCCAGTTGACAAATGCATGCTGTGGTAAACAAATTTTTTATATTCTTAAAGTTGCTGTAACTTTTTTTGTCAGTTTTTGGTGTATATATAATATATATAAATAATATATAAATATATATATATTATAATTATATAATATATCAATTTCGACTCGTTAGGTTGCTAATGAGTTGCACATTATGAAAATAAAATTGAAAAAATTTTTCATGCATTTTTTTGTGCAACTATACTACTTACATCATTAGTTAATTATAATATAAAATAAAACAAATAACCATGCTCTCCATCCATTGGTACTACAACCACTATTAGACTGACTAGTTTAGTTGAATTTATTTTAAAATGTCATTTAATTGTTTAAAAATTTATTTTAAAATGACAATTTATTTTAATAATAATTTATAAATTATTATATATTATAATTACTAATATAATTATATTTTATATTATAATAATAGCAATAACTTATAAACAAAAATAAAAAGTATTATCTGAAAAACAATTTATGCAAGAACACAAGATGATACAATCATTCGGCCAAGAAGACCTTAAAAAAGCAATATTACGTAATTATACAACGTAACTTTAGTGCAAAATAATAATTTTAAAAAATTACCACGGTAGACATTTTCGATCCATCCCGCGCCGAACTTGTATACAAATAACCAAATTAATTCTAAAAGTTAATTGGAGTTCAAAATAATGAGAGAAACTTCGGTTTATATTGTGTTCATATATAATATACATACATTGAAAAAACTTAGCATCAATTAGGTAATATTTAATAATCGCACGAAATATGTATTAACTGATCGTCAAACATATCCAAACTTTTAAATTGAATTGTTTGAATCAAAATTTCTACTATCTAAATTTCTCGTGTTTTTTAAATTTGAAGCAGAAGCAAAATGCGAACCAATAGACTGCGCGTGCTTCTGTATATAGTATTTCCCATATATTTTAATATAATAAAGTATAGGATGGTAATGTATTTGTATAATTATTTATCATTAATTTATTACCACAAGAAAAATGCTTGGGCATAACTCTCTGCTCAAACTGTAATAAACAAAAGTAAATTAGAACGAATTTCAATAAAAATCAAAGTTAAATCTATATCAAGGTTCGAAACGAAAATTCTTTAAATTAATTATTATATATACAAATGCAGATGAAGATTTAAACCAATAATCAAAATCAGACACATGACAAATAATATTAAGATGTTGAATACTTTTTGTCATCATATAAAGAAAATCACGTTTAGTTGAAAATGAAAGCTGGTGCCGACCGTCGAGCAGAAACAAGCGATAAACGATTCGCTGAAATGAAAGCTGATACCGACCGGCGAGTAGAAAAGCAGACTGCTGATGCCTATAGTCGGGCAGAAAAGCAATCCGCTGATGCCGATCGTCGAGCGGAAAAGTAATCCGCTGAAATGAAGGCTGAAATGAAACAGCAAAACGCTGAAGTGACTGCAAAGATCGATCAACGGATAACCGAATCAAGAGAGCCGAATTACGAACGGCCAATGGAATAAAACAACCAACCTTTGAGGGAATATCTTCTAACGAAGAGACTATACCAAAAACGACTACACAAGTGTCGGAAATTATTCTACCAGCATATTCACCTACGGGTGATGTCGACTGCAACGCACGTGATATCAGCGATACACGTGGTATCTGTGATGCGCGTGACACCTACGACGCAGGTGACAACTATGATGCACGTGACAACGGCAAAGGAAGTGACAACTGCGATGCACGTGTTGACGTGCAGAAAGGTAGTCATTATTTTGAGTAAGAGGAAAATGATGACAACAATGATACGGATTACATTAATCTTGATGACGATTGGGAAGTAATCGGCAGATTGACTGATGAAAAGAACGAGTTGAATGAACTTACAGGATCAAATGATTCCGATGACGAAAAAGTGAACAATGATAGACTGGACAGACTTGGAAAAGATTTTTATGAAATAACAGACAGAAATATTCTCAAAAGTAAAGGTCAAAGTCATCAACAGGAACTTGAAGAAATCGAATGACCGAATCAGGAGCATACAGATGAGATGAAAGAACGGAAAGATGAGACTGACATAAGAGTGAAGTAGATGCTCAGAGAGTGCCAAGTAAAGACGGAAGATAAGGAGAAACAGTCCCAAGATAACTTCACCGAATTGTTAAAAAAGCTTGAAGAGGACAATCAATAGAGACTGAATGAAATGCAAGATAAAATGGAAGAACTGAAGAACGACTCGAAATTGAAGGGTGAGTACACAGATGAACGGAGCGCACAAACTGATGACCTTCAACTAGTTATGAGTCGAATGCATGCAGAAGATGAGTGGAAGGATTGGGAAGGGTCGTGCCAGGTAGTCACCCCCCGAATCAACGACGTGGTGTATCGGGTACGAGAACGAGGTAAGCCGCGGATCAAAATGAAAATCGTACATCTGGATCGGATAGCCCCTACTCAGAAACAAAGGTCAACACAACAAAGGGAATTGGCCAAATCGAGGACGATATTTGGTCTCAGTGGCGGGCAATGTTACAGACGTGAGATCGAGATAAAAAACTAATAATTAAAAATTGCATGAACCGCTTGTAAATTAATTAGAAGGTGTAGGTAATAAAATTGGTTGTAAATTCATTTATGGATGTGACACGGCATGTGACTACATATACAAGTAGATCGGTGCTATATAAACAACGCAGAAGCAAGATTCCAGACAGACAGAGGGAGAACAACGAGGAAAAAGACGAACACAGTCGACGTAGAAGTGAGATTCGATGGAAAGTCGTAAATGCGATTTACGTAGCTATTTGAATTGGTCTATTGTTCCTATTACTGCTGGTATTAAATAAACGTTCAACTTAGTTTGCGTTTGAAGTAGTTGTGTTCATCTATCGGAGATCTTGAACCTACGGATAAACGGACTCTCGACTATCGTTGGAGGCTACAACACGGTGTTGGAGATATAGTGAGTATTGAAGCTATAACATCGGTGTTGGTAGGTCGAGGAGGTTACAACACTGGTGTTAGAAGTAGATATGCACCTAAGTTGAAAAATTATCAAAATAAATAAAATCTTTACATCAATGAAAATTATTATTAAATTACAAAAATATAAAAACTAAAGAATGACACCAGACCCTAAACCACACTGAAAATGTGCGCAGATGCGGTCGAGGGCCGTTATAGGTATCGTAAGTATATATGTAACAATATAAGTATGTATATATATGTAAGTACAAGGAGATGCCTGTCAAGCACGACGATCTCAAATCGATTCGGCTTTACGTACACCAGAAAAGAGATACTAAATATCCATAAATATTATGCAAATGGATTTAATAAATGAATTAAAAAATAATTAAAACAACAAGTGACACAAGGACATCACGAATATTATTCGTTGTTTACTGCGATCTCTTTAATACTGAATAATCATCATTAATACGAAAATAAATGCTAATAATGTTTTAAAGCATGTTTTAAAACATAAAAATAAATTAATTTTCATTAAAAAAATGATTACATTACATCAGTTATTTAATAAGTTAAAATTATGATAAAAAAAGTTGAAAAATTTTTCCGGAGGTCCGAGTCCTGAGTCTGGAGTTAGAATTTTTATCGTTAATATCATAATTAAGCATGCAAATTTAAGTTGAACGTTGTGATGTTTTATATGTTTTATTTAATATAAATTCAATTCAACACGAGTGTGCATTACAATATCTCAGTTTATTTTATCATCGTCCAATAGATACTAGATATATAAAGATACAAATGTCACATCTCCCCTTTTAAAAGTTCAATTTTATTGTTTTTATTTAATACAAATATTTAATTAAGAACATAGTCCTTGTATCTAACAGGCTACTCCGTGTCCTCAGGATGGATCTTGGGAAGACTGTGTGGTGTCTCCTGTTGGACTGCTGCACTGAAGGTGAATTGGGGATTCTAACCTTTGTGGTGCGTATATAAGTGGATCTTCTATGGTGTAGATGAGATCTCTTCGGTTTCGTCTTAAAGTTGAACCATCCTCTGTGTCAACAATGTATGATCTTGGAGCTTGATGTTTAAAACGAACAACTCCACGTTTCCATGTTTCATTGTGATTCATACGTACTATATCTCCTTCGTTCAAACATGGAAGAGGTTTCGATTTACGATCATAATACTTTTTTTGTTGTTGCTCTCTGTAAACTAGATTATCTCTTTTTATTGCCTTGTTGAGATTTCTAGGATCGAGGCATAATCTTAATGATCCATCTTTCTTTTCGATAATAAGCAAGCTGTTTACCCAATCTGTTGGCTCATCTTTTTTCTATTATTCCATTTTTTAACAAACTATCTAATTTCTGCTTGAGTTTTGGCTGTAACGCTAGTGGTACTCGTCTTGGCGGATGTACTAATGGGTCTACTGTAATGTGATGCTCTCCAGGGAGACAACCAAGTGTTTTGAACACATCAGAAAATTCATCAAGTATCTGTGCTGATGTTCTTTTTTCTACACTGGTTTTTATGGTATCAACTCTGTGTAGAAAATTTAGTTTGCTGCATGATGGCAGTCCTATCAGTGTTAGGGCATTGCTATTAATGATATAAAATTTTAGAAACGTTTTCTTACCCTTAATTATTGTTTCAACAAATGATGATCCTAGAGGCTGAAGTTTTCCACTGCCATAAGGTTTAAGAACTGTGTTGGTCTTTGTTAGCTTTGGTCTTTTAGGAAGTTGTTCAAAAACTGTTTTTGACATGACGTTGACTTCAGCACCTGTGTCTAATTTGCATCTGACATTGCCATTTAGATAAAGCTTTTTCAACCAACAATTTTCTTGATTCGCAGTGCAACTATGTATGGCTAATTCATCAATGACGAAGCTGTTTATATCTTCCTCAATTGCATGAATTGATGATCCAGATGATGGCGATGCTGAACGTTAATGGTTGTCTGTAGATTTTTTAAAACTTTCATTGCATCCTTTGTTTGACAAGTTGGGGGCTTTACACATCTTACCAAAATGGTTTTGTTTTAAACATCTGTAACATTGTTTTCCAAATGCTGGGCATTGTTTTATAGGATGAATTGTGCCGCATCTTCCACAACCATGTTTGTTCATTTTGTCATTATTTTGGTCTTTATTCTTACCAGACCTCACAAAGTTTATTGTTGCTGGTAACTCGTCACCTTTTATGGTTATTAATTGTTCTCGAGTAACCTCAGCAGCTCTGCATAACTGAAGTGCCTTTGTGAGAGACAATTCAGGTTCTCTCAACAATCTTTCCTGAAAACGTGCATCTGCACAACCCAAAACTACTCTGTCACGAATCAATGACTTCTCCTGTTCACCAAATTTACGTGATTTGGCTCGGAGACGTAGAAGTGGTTACAAATGAATCTACTGGCTCATTTTTGGCTTGTGAGGTTTTCCAAAACTGGTACCTTTCAAAAACAACGTTTTTACGTGGTGAGCAATACTCTTCAAGTTTCGATTTTACTGCAATTATTCTATCTTTGTCTTCTGGCGGGTCAAAAGTGAATGTGTTGAAAATGTGAAGTCCTTCATCACCAATCCAACTCAGAAGCATCGCAACTTGTACCTTTTCTGGAAGCTGGTCCGATCGAGAAGCAAGAAAAAATAGCTCAAATCTTTGTATCCATACTTTCCAGCTCTCTTCAACGTTGCCTTGATCGAACTTCAACCTCTAAAACCTTGAAAACGTCTAAAAACGTCAATCATTATTTTATTGATAAAACTTATACTATCGTTTAAACATTTAATTTTACTAAATTTTAACAATTGTCGACTGCGCCACGTGATGTTTTATATGTTTTATTTAATATGTTGTTATGTTGTTATTGCTAATTTTCGGCGTATCAGCACAGAAAGGCTATCTTCACGCCTATTTTTTTCTTATCTGAGTTTATACTTGAATGTAGTTGTTTTTATTTATTTCTATATTTTATCAATTAGATTTATTTCTTTTAAATAATTTATTAAATTCTCTATATTAATTGGGTCTTCAAATATTTCTTGCATGTTGGTCGGGATATTATGGATTTTCCTACTTATTTGATATTTTTGACAATCTATGATGACGTGCTGAATGGTTATTCTTGTACCGCATGTATTACAACATGGGTCTATTGTCTTGATATATGAGTTCCTTGTGGCTCCATAAACCTGACAACCATAATCCAATATAGCTCTTACTGTGGTTCTATATATTGTTAAGAGTGTGTCTTGATCTCCTCCCCATTTGTAATAGGATATGGTTTTGATCGAATTTAATGCTTTTATGCATTTACTTTTTATATAGGCAATGTGAGAAATAAAGTTTAATCTTTCATCAAAAATTATGCCTAAAA